AGGGCTAAGGTTGTGGCTCAGAGGTAGAGCGCTTGCCTAGCATGCATGAGGCACTGGGTTCAATCCTCAGCACCACATTAAAAATAAAATAAATATACTGTGTCCACCTATAACTAAAAAATAAATTTAGGGGCTGGGATTAATAAATAAAAAGATACATTTAAAAAATAGGTACTATTTAAAATTTTTTTTTCATCACTTTCCTAAGGTCAGTTCTGCTTTTTTTCCAAAAAAGAATTCCAGATTGGAATTTGTATTTAATTTGATCCTACCTCTGAGAGAGAGGGGGTGGGGTAGGGGTGTGTGTGTGTGTGTGTGTGTGTGTGTGTGTGTGTGTGTTTAGGGGCACATGGTTTGGATCAGGCTTGGGGAGGAGTGAGGGGCAGGATGAGATGGGTAGCAATGGGGATGGAATAATTAAGATTTATAAGGGTATATGGTTAGGATATACAGTAAGGGTTAGGATTATGGATTAGGGTAAAGGATTATGGTGAGGTTATATGTGAGGGGTTACGGTATGAAGTATGAGATATAGTGTGAAGGTTAGGGTTATATTTTAGGGTTTAGGGTCTTCAGAGTTTGTAGCAGGTAGGAATCACACCCCACCCCGTTACCCTGCAGTGCCACCTTGTGGAAAGAGGAAAGGCTTTGGGAAAGAATATCTAGGTATGAGTGAAATCTGCTGAATATCATGTCCTTGATTTGTTCAGGGCACCTGACTTTCACACTGACAGTTTTTTTTTTTTCAGGATTTTTCTTTCTCTCTGATGTGGACTAAGTAATCAAAGGGGTAAAATATTGACTAGTTTTTGTGCATGAAAAGGCAGACAAGCCTCTATGTTTCATAATTCAAAAAACATAATATGAAAAGGTATTTTGTATATAATTAGGGGAGTTGATTGAGTGCACACTATGTGCTTGGCATTAATGATACAGTGGTGGATTAACTAGAATTTCTGATCTTGGGGAGATTATGCTCTAGTGGCAGGAGACAGGGATAAGCAGATGAGTATATGGTGGTGAGTGTGGAGGCTAAAAGGAGTGAGAGGTGGAACACTGCCATTTTAGATGGATTGTTAGGGAACACTTCCTTGACCAGGTGTTGAAGGAAGAGGTAATCCAGGCATGTGAGCAGCTATCCAACAGAACAGCGGGTGCACAGGCCCTGAAGTGGGCATTGGCTTGCTCTGTTGGAGGAGGTGCGAAAAGGTTAGGTGGCTGGAAATGAAGAGTGGCAACTGGAGGTGTCCTAGAAGTGTGAATGTATGTGTTGCAGGTCATGCGAGCCTTGTAGACAGCACTTAGGGGGAATTTTCTCAGACGAGAGCAAACCACAGGAAGGTTTTCAAGGAAGTGATATATCTAAAAGGCAAGCATCAAAACAGAAACTCTTGCACACATCCTGTCTGAGAGGTGGTAGAGGCTTGAGCTAGGGTGGCAGCAGTGGGTACATGTGGCAGATTCTGGGTATGTTTTGAAGTTAGGGTTGACAACAGGCTCCTGTCCTTCATTTCTGAGAACCTCTGTGTGTCCAGTGTTCTACTCAGGTGCCAAGTTAGAGAACAGAAGGCCTGTCCTCTGTAGGCTTAGGATCTAGTTCTGAGTTTTTCAAGCTTTTTTTTCAATTAAAAAAACAAAAAACGGGGGTAGGGGGCAGTGCACAGGATGAGACACACTTAGGTGATTTCAACATGAGGTAATGGGTCACAACTCACTCTTGGGAGTCTCAAAACACTGAGTAGAGGATGCAGTCAAGAAAAGTGCTGGTTATGTAATGTAATAGTGCTGTACCACAGAGGAGGCTCCTTCCCAGGCTGGGTCAGGTGGGTGGACAGTGGTGGTCATGAACAGGTGTGTTCCTGTGATGTGGGCAGAGGAATGGTTTCCAAAAAGAGTAAAGAGCACCCCGTCAGCATGCTGTGTTCCTTACAACGTGGTCGCTCAGCTCTGCTTTCCTGCTGTAGCTAACCAAATCTCTATTTATAACATATTAATCTTTTAGGAAGGATAACATATTAACTTCTTTTTTCCTTTAATTGTTTTCCTCAGTTTCCTAATCCTATTGTGTTTCTTCTCTGTTCTGTTCATATTATTAAAGAAAAAGTTACATTTACCCATTAAATTGTGACATGCCATCAATTGTGAAATACATTGTGATTTCAAAGATGTTTAAATATGAACAAAGGATGCTTCTAGAATTTGCACAGTACGACATTTGTATTGAAGATTCTTTAGTTCATTAAGGTAGAGAGCCCCAGCACACAGAAAGAAAACGTATTTAAGGAGGATGGATAATGCAGGTTTATTGAGTAGACTGGGTACATCATGCTCTGCTAGTGTATACGAATTTCTCAGACATGGTGGGGTTCTGACTTTTGTGTCATTCATGAAATTAGCTAGATTTTAGTGTGCGTATCATGTGTCAGGTACTGACTAAGCAACAGGAAACTAAAGATGAGACAGCAAATTGCCAGGAAGGCGTGGTCTAGAGAGGGAAGGGAGACATGATAATGCTCACTGAAGTGATATAAGAATGATTGGGAAGAGTTACAGATCACAGAGTAAGGAGCTTGTGGCTTCCCTGGAGAGAAGAGGAGGTACATGAAGTTTTGCAGTTGGTTGCTGTGAGCTGAGTTTTGAAGAGTGAATAGGAGTTTACAGCAAAAGGGAAATGGGTAGAGGGACCATGACCAGCGAAACGTGACTCACTCCTTTGGAGCTAAGAGTGAAGTTCCATGTTGAGAGGAGTAAGACCTGGAAGGCTAGGACTCTGCAGTTTGTCCTATCCTCTGGGTTTTCTCAGGGTGGATATCTTGAGCTCCATGGGATTCTCTGAGGGGAAGTTAGAGATTCACACAAATATCACATTAGACTCAAGAAGAAAAAAAAACCTGTTTCCTGTTTATATACCATTTCCTGTTTATATACCAAATGTTTTGGGAACAGAAGACCTGAGTGTTTTAAGCAAGTGAATAACATTGCTGATTTTTACATTTAGAAAATGACCCTTTGATGCAGCCACATTAATGTTTATAGCAGCTCAGTTCACAGTAGCTAAGCTATGCAAGCAACCTAGGCACACTTCAACAGATGAATGAATGAAGAAAATGTGGCACATATACACAATGGAATATTACTCAGCTAAAAGAAGAACAAAATTATTGCATTTGCTGGAAAAATGGATGGAACTGGAGACTAACGTGCTAAGTGAAATAAGCCAATCTCCAAAAACCAAAGGCCAAAATGTTCTCTCTGATATGTGGATGTGGACTCACAATAGGCATGGAGCATCTGGGAACAAGGAGTGAAGGTTCACTGAATTGGACCGGGGAATGAAGGGAAGGGAGTGGGGAGGGGAATAGAATAGATAGTAGAATGAATTGGACATAACCTTCCTATGTCCATATACGAATACACGACCATTGTAACACCACAACATGTACAACCACAAGAATGGGTAGTTATACTCCATGGATGTATGATATGTCAAAAAACATTATACTATCATGTATAACTAAAATGAACAATTAATAAAAACCAAAGTAAAAAAAAAAATGTCCCTTTGGTGATGGAGGATGGGCTGGAGTCCCAGAAACCGGTGTCAAGGAAACCAGCTTAGAACTGTTACATAAAATCCCACCATTGATACGCACATGTTTAATCTCAAAATGCTCCAAAAACATTGGAGCATTTCTAAGAAAATTTAACAATGAACTGAAATTACATTTAGTTGACATATTTTAAGGGAGGGGAGTTTTGGGACACCTGATCTTTGGTCAAAGAATAAATACAAATACTCTGCAATACTTTCTGATTTTCTTTTAAAGAAAATTTTGGTTTAAATTGAACATCTGGGATATTGTTTTTAAAAAATGCCTTCTAATATGATATCTTGAGGTCTTAGATCAAAGTAGTAGAATTTTGAGATTTTTATAAAATTGACCTGGCAATTTTTATTTGTTAATTTTTTAAAATGCATTGTAATGTATTTTTATGTTTGAGACCATTTATTTTTCCTTTACTGTATTAATTTATATCTTTGAAAAGTTTTTTAATGGATTGGATTTTTAGTCTTTATCAATTTTTAGGAGCTCTTTATTTATTGAGATTAGCCACTTATTTGTAATATGAGCCACTTATTTACAATATTTTCTTCCCTAGTTTATCTCTTTATCAGACTCTTATATTTAATATTTTTGAATATATCAATCTTCATCTGTGGTATTGGACTTTAAGTTATAGTTAAAAGGGTTTCTTTTCCCCCCTATATTAGGGATTGAACCCGGGGGCACTCACTCTACCACTGAACTACACTCTCGGCTCTTTCTAAAAAAGTGTTTATTTTGAGGCAGTGTCTGAGTTGCTGAGCCTGACATTAAATTTGAGATCCTTCTGCCTCAGCTTAAGTGGCTCAGATTACAGGCATGTATCACTGCACCTGGCTAGGAAGAGTGTCTATACTCTGAAGTTACAAAAAGGGATTTACCTCGGTTTCATTATGGAATATTTATGGTTTTGTGATTATATCTAAGTACTTGAGCAAGCAGGAACTTATGTTAGTGTATGAAGTATAGTATGAATTTATTTTTTTTCCATGTGGATATTTTAGTTGTTCAAACATCCATCATTCATTGTATCATCTTTTCCCCTTGATTTTGAGGCACCTCCTTCGTCTTTTGTCATTTTTTTCCGTATGGAATTGTGTCTGTGGGACATCAGTTTGTCCCATTGATCTATTTGTGTGCTACTGTGATATGGCTTTGAGGCTGTATAACACCTGGCAATACTAGTTCTTTGCTAATGTTATTCTTTTTTGGCATTTTACTGATTTATCTTACTTTCTTAAATTTTTTACATGAACTTTAAAGTCAATTTATCTATTTCCAGAAAGTAATCCTGCAAGCATTTGGTAAGGGAGGTGTTAGAGGGATCATTTTAAATTTACTTAATCTCTTCATAACAAGTAAGCTAAATTGGAGTTTTGATCTCTTCTCTTACAGATGATATTAACTGTGTTCTTGAGCAACAATGAACAGATTTTAACAGAAGTTCCTGTAACACCAGAAACAACCTGTCGAGATGTTGTAGAATTTTGCAAGGAGCCTGGAGAAGGCAGTTGTCATTTAGCTGAAGTGTGGAGGGGAAATGGTATGTATTATGTTTTAAAAGAATGAGAATGTTGTCACTTAGTTGTATGAGGTGATAAGGAGTTGAGTAATTAATATAAAAACAGTTATATTACATGAGGGTAGGGTTTTATAAAATGGTATTTGTTAAAAAGCAAGGTGTGATTTGACTCTTACCATAACCATTTAAGATAAGCAGGGAGGGTAGATCTAGCTTTTTGTAAGATGTCTTTTCCTTTCCCCATCAACCAAATGAGAAGACCCTGGTCCTCTTGAGCCTTCATTGTCATAACACATGTCAGGTTGGTCAGTGACTCTTCTTTTCTCTTCTGATAATGTCATGGAGGCACTAGCTTTGTGTTCCCTCACTTGAGGAACTTTGTAAATGGTGTGTCTTCCCTAAATATTACTAAATTGAGAAAGGTAAAATCCTGATTCATGTTGAAAGAAATTGTCAACAAGCAGGGCAGAGAAGATCCATGTAGGTAATATGATTAGCAAGCACCAGAAATTCTGCAAAATAGTTTGCACTGTAAAGAAGGGGTTGAATTTGGATAGGATAGTCTATCCCAGATAGCGGAAGTAATGCAAATGAAGAAAAGACGGGAACAGAATATGGTGTGCTGCCAAGACAGCTAAGACCAGGAAGGTTGGCAGCAGGCAGAGGCTGGAGCAGCTCGTTATACCAGACCTTCAGCACTGCAGAGTGGTGTGGCTTTTTCTCAGCAGAAGGAATTCGTATGGATTTTAATTAAGGAATGACATTCTAAAAATAATGTTGGTCAATAAACAATGAGCCTGAAAAAAGTACCATGCACATGGGTCTGTGTTAAGACAGTGAGAGAATGATCAACTGGAACATGCTGAGTTTGAGGTGATGAGAGATGTAAAAAAATGAAAGTGTCTAAAGGACACTTAGAGATAATCAAGTCTTAGCATTTTTTTCAACAGCCTTTTTGAGATGTAATTCACCTACCATACAGTTCACCCATTTAAAGCATACAGTTCAGAGGTTTTATTATATTTACAGAGTGTGCAACAATCATCACAGTTATTTCTAGATTATTATCCTTGCCACCAAAAGAAAAAAAGAAACTCCTTACCCATTAGCAGTGACTGACTCCCTTTCCTTTTGACCCCCTCATCTGTCGGTAAACACTAATGTACTTTCTGTAGATTTGCCTATTCTAGACCTTTCATACAAAAAGAATCATATAATACAATCCTTTTTAGATTGGCTATTTACTCAGCTTAGTGTTTTTGAGGTTCATTCATGTTGAAGCACATATCAGTAATTCATTACTTCTTGTGGCTGAATGTTCCACTGTATGGATATATTACATTTTCCTTATCAATCGGATGGGGAGTTATTTATTCGGTTGATAGACATTGGAGTTATTTCCTTTTCAGGGGTGTGTTCTATGAATGATGCTCTGTGAACTTTTTTTTTTTTGGTACTGGGAATTGAATATTCAGGGGCATTCAACCACTTATCCACATCCTCAGCCATATTTTATATTTTATTTAGAGATAGGGTCTCACTGAGTTGCTTGACTTAGAACTCACGATCCTAGTGTCTCAGCCTCTGGGATTACAGACATGCGTCACCATGCCTGGCTGCTCTGTGACAAAACGCAAGTTTTTGTGTGGATATTTTATCACATCTCTTAGTTACATACCTAGGCCTAAGTCACCTTGCTAGGGCTTACGGTAATTCAGTGTTTAACCTTTTCAGGGACTGACAAACTGTTTTCCGAAGCAACTGTACTATTTTATTCCAGCATCAGTGTATGAGGATTCTAATTTTTCCACATTTTTGTCAACACTTCATATTGTCTGTTAGATTTCAGCCATCTGACTGGATAAGAAGTGGTATCATGGGTTGAGATTGTGGCTCAGCGGTAGAGTGCTCACCTCGCACAGGTGGGACCCGGGTTCGATCCTCAGCACCACATAAAAATAAAGGCATTGTGTTGTGTCCATCTACACCTAAAAAATAAATAAATATTTTTTAAAAAAGAAAATTAAAAAAAAAGAAGTATCCTTGTGGTTTTGGTTTGCATTTCCTTAATGATGAATGATGTTGAACATCTTTCATGTTGTATTGGTCATTCCACATCTTCTCTGGATAAATGTCTATTCATACCTTTTGCATGCGTGTGTGCGGGCGTGCTAGGGTGTGTGTGTGTGTGTGTGTGTAGATAGACACAATGCCTTTATTATTTTTATGTGGTGCTGAGTATCTAACCCAGTGCCTCATACATGTGAGGCAAGTGCTGTACCACTGAGTCACAGCCCCAGCCCAACCTTTTAATTTTTTATTATTTTGAGACAGGGTCTCACTAAGCTGGGCCCTTATTTGCTGTTCTCTGGCCTCAGTATTCCAAGTAGCTGCGCATCACACCTGGAAACTTTTGTCTCTTTTTAAGTTGGGGTATTTATCCTTTTTTCTTTTCTTTTTTCTTACTTATTTACATACTTACTTACTTTTTGTGGTAATGGGTATTGAACCCAGGGATGCTCTATCACTGTGTTATATCCCCAACCCTTTTTAGTTTTAATTTCGAGATAGATTCTTGCTAAGTTGCCAAGGCTGGCCTGGAACTTGGATCCTCCTGACCTAGCCTCCCAAGTAGCTGGGATTACAGGTAGGGTATTTGGGTTTTTGTTATTAAATTGTATGAGCTCTTTATATATTCTAGATACCCGTCCTTTATAAGGAATATGACATGGAACTATTTTCTCCCAAAGTCCTATGCTTTTAATGTTATCCTTAGAAGTCAGAGTAAAATCTTCAAGGTTAGATTGAGTGAAACTTGACTTTAGTAAACATTGGATTCTTACTTAACTATAAGGATAAATGTCCATTATATAAGGAAGAGGACAGGTCCTCAATTGTCAACCTGATGATAGCCACAGGAAGGGAGATAGTAAGTAGAATTAGTGTTTTCTAGGAGACCAGTGTTAGAACCTGATTATTCCATCCTCTGGACTCTTAGCACTCTGTCACTTCTGATTCTTTTTATCTGTCTCCCTCTTCTCTCTTACTTAGCTTGAAAAGAAGTAAAATTTTGCAAAGGTATCATAGCCTCCAGTGGTCCATGGCTACCCAGGAATGCTCATCTCCCTGATGCAAACTCTTTGATTGGTGCCATTCTTATCTCCAAGCCTATCTCAAACCCTTGGTTTTACTGCAGCAGGGATAAGGACTGCTATCTGAAGTACCAAGGGTCACTGCACATCTATTGGCTATGCTCTTTACATTGTATATAACATTTCCTAGGAGCTTGACTAACTTCTGTTCATTCTTTGCTTCTCATCTCTTCTTTGACTTTCAGAGGATGTTAGTTATCTCTCCCCTGTGCTCCAATACTGTCATGGTATTTATTAAACAATTATTTATAAATTAAACCTCATCTTTTGTTGAACTAAAATTTTTGAAGGCAGGAACTTCTCTGTTCACCATCATATCCCCAGTGCCCAGCCTAGTGCTCATAATAGGCATTAGGAAATACTTGAGTCATTGAGTGAAATGAGGAAGAAAAAGATTTTCTAATAAGTACAATTCAAAGGGAGGGGAAAGCTCTACCAGCCTTTCTCAATTTTAACTTGGAGGAATCCTAAAAGTAATTTTCAGGCTTCATATGATCAATATGTCATAGATATAGTAGTCCAGTATTTTTTTTTTTTTTTAAAAGAGCTTTGTCTTGGCTCATGATTCTGGAGGTCCAAGATCGAGGGACTGTAACTTGATGGAGAGACCTGAGGCAGTGCAGGGTATCACGTAGTGAGAAACAGTGCACCTGTGTACTTGTCTGTTTTTTGGTGCTGGGTGTTGAACCCTGGACCTCATGCATGCTAGGCAAGTCCTCTACCACTGAGCTATATCCCCAGCCCATTGGTGGTGTTTTTGTTTTTGTTTTTTTAATATTTGTTTTTTAGTTGTAGATGGACAAATACCTTTATTTTGTTTATTTATTCTTATGTGGTACTGAGGATTGAACTCAGGGCCCCCTACATGCTAGGCAAGTGCTCTACCACTGAGCCCCAACCCCAGTCCCCATCGGTGGTTTTCTTGAGTATTGGGAATTGAATCCAGGGGTACTTTACTACTGAGCCATATTCCCAGTCCTTTTTATTTGTTTTATTTTGAGACAGGAGCTCACTAAGTTGCCAAGGCTGGCATTGAACTTGTGATCCTCTTGTCTAGTTTCCTAAACCACTGGGATTATAGTAATGCACCCCATGTCTAGCCCATCACTGCTTTTGAGTAGAGACCATTTCTCTGTAAATCTTGTGTTTGTTTACTAAGGCTGCCATATCAAAGTACCATAGGCTGCATAGCTTACACAACAATTTTTTTTTTACAATTTCAGAGGCTAGGAGTCTGAAATCAAGGTTTTAGCAGGCTTAGTTTCTTCTGAGGCTTTTCTCCTTGACTTGTAGGTGTGTCTCCTCCTCCCTGTGTCCTCAAGTGGTTTCTTTTCATCTCTAAAGGACACTAGTGATGTTGGGTTAGATTGGATTAGGGTTCACCCAAATGACCTTATTTAACTTATTACCTCTTATAAAGACCTTATCAGTAAATGCAGTCACATTCTGAGGTACTGGAGGGTAGGACCTCAACATCTGGATTTAGGAGGGATACAGCTTAGCCTGTAACAGTGTTAATTTGGCCAGTTTATCATCCTACTCTTTCTGTGGTTCCCTGCCCTACACAGGTGTCAACCCCAATGCAGATCTGTGATGTGATAGAACCTTTTGTCTTCTCATTTGTTACATTTCCTCCTTGATTTTTTTTCACCTTATACAAGAATGTCTAAAAATTTTATCATAGATTCCCACTTTATAAGATGTTAATGAAGAATATTTTATATATTATAATATGTATAAGGTAGATTTTTTCACTTTAAAATGAAAATAATGTTAATTAATTAGACAGCCTTTTTTTTTAATATTTATATTTTAGGTGTAGATGGACACAACACAATGCCTTTATTTTTATGTGGTGCTGAGAATCAAACCTGGGTCCCGCCCTTGCTAGGCGAGCGCTCTACCGCTGAGCCACAATCCCAGCCCTTAGACAACCATGTTTTAAAAATATGTTTAGCTGTAGATGGGCACAATACCTTTATTTTATTTATTTATTTTTATATAGTGCTGAGGATCAAACCTGGTGCCTCACACGGGCTAGGCAAGTGTTCTACCATTCTTATAATTTAAAAAATAGTGAAGCTTAGCTTACTTTTCTTGAAATTAATCTTTCCTTCTAAAAATTTTATAAATTCATAAAGTGAGACCAATAAATTTCTCTTAAATAACTGGGTTAAGACAAAATGGAATTTAATTTTTATTGAGTTATGTTCAACTTGGTAGATTTAAATAAAACTTGTATATAGATTTTGTGTGTGTTTGTGTGTGTGTGTGTGTGTGTGTGTGTGTGGTGTTGGGGATTGAACCCAGGAACTTGTGTATGCGGGGAAAACACTCTACGAACTGAGCTATATTCCCCAGCCCCTATTGATAATGTCAATTAGTAAAGCAACCAAAAATAAACCTAAAACCATAATTCAAAGCAATAAGAATAAAAATATGGCCTCAGACACAATTTTATGCTAAACTAAGGGACATGGTTAGATTAAATACAGGCCATGCTGTTGAAAAAGGTAAATACACATGTATTTTAAAAATCATTTTATAGGCCTATATATATGAATTGTATTACTTTTGAAACTAAAAATATATAGAATGAAATTCACTTCCTGAATATTTCAACCCATGCTTGTTTTGTTTTTATTTTTGTTTTCTGTATAAATACTCAATTCTGAGTTGAACTTGAGCTTAGCACACATGGGTTCAGCCAGACTGTTGCTTTAGCGACACAGCCTGCCTGCATTTGTAAGACCACAGCAGCAGCCATATTCACAGTGCGTGTTGCATGTCTGCAAATGGCACGGCTTTCCTTATGGGAATTAGACTGGACCTAGGAGTAGAGCAGGAAGTCACACCTGGAATGTGTGAGTAGATTGCAGCTGATAAGTTTTTTCTCTTCTCTACACATCAAGTTCTCAGAATGACCCAAAGATTTAGAGGAAGGGTCTCTTGCTCAACCACACACTTGTGTTGAAAGGAAGGAAGCACTGTCCTTTGTGCTTAAGCTCTCCCAGTTGGTTTCCTAAGCCTCAGGGCTGCTGAGCTTTAAAGTGCTTCCTCACTTTTAAGCATAAGCAGAAGTGGTGATGTGCCTTGAATTCCTTTTATATCTTTAAGATAAAAGTCACATATGCGAACATGACTGTGTGAACATATATAATTTAGCAGTTTTCAGTGCAGTCACTATGTTGTACAAACATCATCAAACTCTGTGCCTCCACATCCTCCTCCCCCACTCTCTGGCAACACTGTCCTGTACTAACAGTATGTGTTTGACCATTCCGGGTACTGAATATAAGTGGAATCATATAATATGTGGCCTATTTGGTCTGGCTTCTTTAACCTAGCAAGTTTTTCAAGGTTCATCCATGTGGTAGCATGTATCAGTACTTCATTCTTTTTATGGCTGAATCGTATTCCATTGTTTGTTGTACTTTGTTTATCCATTCATAAGTTACTGGGTATTTTGATTGTATCTTAGTCCTTTTAGGCTGCTATAGCAAAATACCTGAGACTGGGTAATTTATAAACAGCAAATTTTTTGCTCAAAATTCTGGAGGCTGGGATGTCCAAAATAAGAGAGAGCATGGGTTTAATCCCAGCACTGCTAAAAGAAAATAAAAGAAAGAAAGGGCCAGGTGTAGTGACGCACACCTACAATCCCAGTGTCTCATGGGGCTAAGGCAGGAGGATCATGAGTTCAAAGCCAGCCTCAGTAAAAGTGAGGCACTAAGCAACTCAGTGAGATGCTTTCTCTTAAAAAAAAGAAAGAAAAAAGAAAATAAGGTTGGGGATGTTGCTCAGTGAGTTCAATCCCTGAGTTCAATCCTTGGTATACATACACACACACACACACACACACACACACACACACACACATACACATAAAAATCTCAACAAAAATCAAAATGAAAGTTTATTGTCAATATGTATAACAAGCCCAGGATTAGTTTCCAGAACATAAAGAAGTACTTCAAATGGCTAAGAAAGAGTCAGACCACCCAGATTTTTTTTTTTTTTTAACTGACTCAGAGTACCTGAGACAGTTCACAGAGAACAGTGGAGTGCATTGTAAACATGAAAATGGTGCTATAAATTTAACAGCTATGTGTGTGCTCTTCTTGAGTCCTTGATACAGAGAGTGATTCTGTGAACAGTATTGGGAATTGAACCCAGAAACCAGGGCCTCACACATCCTAGGGAAAAACTGAGCTACAACCCCAGGCCCTTTTAAATTTTATCTTGAGACAGAGTCTTGCTAAGTTGCTGAGACTAGCCTCAAGATTGAGAGCCTCCTGCCTCAGCCTGCTGTGTAGCTGGAATTACAGGCATGTGCTACCGCACTGGGTATGAGCCTTCCTTTTTTAAAAGAAATGTTTGAAATACTTTGAAGTTCTGTAGAATTTGATTTTTATTATTAACTTGGTAAATTTTAGACTCTACAAGTACTGGCAAACATTCACAATAATGTTGCCAGGAAATGCCCTGGTCAGCCTTTGTATAACTGCCCTGTGTAACATTTTAATGAATACCATGGTGAAGGCAATTTGTTGCATTTCTTTGAAGAATGGGAGGCACACTTGCTTTGTGATAAGTAAATATGCTGAAAAGCCTGTTTTCATTGTTCACTATTTAATGTTGCAAAATTACTTTTATGTATCCTTCTTATGTATACATGTTACTACTACTTTCCCATTCACACTCCTGTTGTTACTCATTAAAGTTCAGTGCTTAGAATGTCCTGGATTCTATCATATATGTATATGTGTGTACATGTATACCTCTGTTTAAGTTTCTTTTTACTTTTGGCTAGAGTGGTGTTTCTGGAGTGAGTAAAGTGTGGTCTCTCTCCTAGAGCGTCCTATACCTTTTGACCACATGATGTACGAGCACTTGCAGAAGTGGGGTCCTCGCAGGGAAGAAGTGAAATTTTTTCTTCGACATGAGGACTCCCCAGCCGAGAACAGTGAACAAGGTAGAGAAATACTTTCTTCCTCATTTGCTAACTTTTGCCATATAAGTTAATTTCAGAAAAATTGGAATAAATGCTAAAGTAAGTCATTCACACTTTTTTTTTGACCCTTTCACTTACAAGGGTGGTGAGAGGGAGAGTTAGTATTTCATGTTTTTTAAAATTCTGTTATTGCAGGTTAAAACCGATTTCCTTCTCAGGACTCTAAATTGGTCAGATAATGCACTCAAATATATAAAAGGACGTAGTGTGTAATGGAATTATTTTTAATAAGTACCAAATGGGCCAAAATATCTAGATTTTAAAATAAAGCCATGAGGGCTGGGGATGTGGCTCAAGTGGTAGCATGCGCGCCTAGCATGCGTGAGGCACTGGGTTCGATTCTCAGCACCACATAAAAATAAAATAAAGATATTGTGTCCACCTAAAAACTAAAAAATAAATATTTTTTAAAAAATAAAGCCATGAAATGAGTAGAAAAAGTTCTGAGGAAAATTTTTATTTTTAGATTGAACTAAGCCTAAGTGTAGCATTAAAGACAAGACTGAGAAATGAATTATTTAAAACAAAATAAAAAAGACTGCCCAACCATAACCATCCTGAGCAAAGTCAGAAGACAATTTATGAGCTGGGAAACAGCATGTATACCTCATATTGCAGAGGTCTGCTTTCCTTTCCTTGTAAAGAATTCCTAAAAATAGGGGGCTAGGGTTGTGGCTTAGTGGTAATGCTGTCACCTAGCACATGTGAGGCACTGGGTTCAATTCTCAGCACCACATAAAAATAAATACATAAAATAAAGGTATTGTCAATTGATCAACAAATATATGAAAAACTGTTTAATATCTCTAGTAATTAGAGAAATGCAAATCAAAACTACTCTAAGATTTCATCTTACTTTTGTTAGAATGGTAATCATCAAGAATACAGGCAACAATAAATGTTGGCAAAGATGTGGAGAAAAAATTACAGTCAAACATTGCTGGTGGGACTGTAGATTGGTGGAACTACTCTGGAAAACAGTATGGAGATTCCTCAGAAAACTGGGAATGGAACCACCATTTGACTTAGCTGTCCCACTCCTTGGTTTATACCCAAAGGACTTAAAATCAGCATACTATAGTGACACAGCCACATCAATGTTTATAGCAGCTCAATTCACAATAGCTAGACTATGAAACCAACCTACGTGTCCCTTAATAGATGAATGGATAAAGAAAATGTGGTATATATACTCAATGGAATATTACTGGCTTTAAAGAAGAGTGAAATTATGGCATCTGCCAGTAAATGTTTGGAGTTGGAGAATATCACGCTAAGTGAAATAAGCCAATCCCACAAAACCAAAGGCTGAATGTTTTCTTTAATATGTGGATGCTAATTCACAATAAAGTGGGGGGGGGGGCACTAGGGAGGAATAGTGTTTTCATAGATTAGGTAGAGAGAAGTGATGGGAGGGGAAAGGAGAGGATGTGGCGATAGGAAAGATAGTAGAATGAAACAGACATTATTACTCTGTGTATATATGTGACTGCATGACCAATATGATCCTGCTACATGTACACTCAGAAAAATGAGAAATTATATTTCATCTATGTATGATATATCAAAGTGCATAAATGCATTCTAGTGTTATATATAACTAATTAAAACAAATAAACTTTTTTAAAAAAATAAAGGTATTTTGTCCATCTACAACTAAAATTTATTAAAAAAGAAAAGAGTTCCTAAAAATTGATAACATGCCTAAATCTCCAGTTACTGGGGAGACTCAGGCAGGATGATCCCAAATTCCAGGCCCGCCTGGGCAATTTAGCGTGATTGTCTCAAAATAAAAAGGAGTGGGAATATGGCTCTGTGGTAGAGCACTTGCCTAACATGTGTAAGGCGCTGAGTTCAATCCCAAGAATCAAGGGAGAAAAAAACTGAAAAGAATGGGGAAAATACACACAGAGTTCACAGAAAAGGAAATACACATTGCCCTAGAATGTGTGAAAAGATGTCATACTCCTAATTTAAAAATGCAGGGACAGCTGTACTGAGATGCTCTTGATTTACCTGTCATGGTGGCAAGGCTCAGCACGGTTGCTAGCTAGCACATGTTGATGGTGCTGAGAAACAGGCCCTGTTCAGCAGTGCTGGGGCACAGCAATGCTCTGCAGCACTGCATACAGAGAAACCCTGTGCCCTGGCTTGGGCCCTCCTGGAGATGTGCTCAGGGACCAGAGTATGGTGCAAAACCCGTGCTACCTTTTCTGTGACCTTGAAAAGAACAGCTTTGTGTTTGTGTGTGGATGTATAAAGTGCCTTTTCTATATCTATATAAAAGGAAATTGTGCCCCTTGGTCTAGCTGATCTCTGCTTTAAAATCATCTCCCTGTGGCTGTAAGCACTGCTGACTTTACAGAACACTGTCACATCTGTATTTTCCTCCACTGCTTCTGGTCATCTGGAGTCAGGCCCCCAAGGCTCTGGGCAAGGGCCTTCCTCTGTGGGAAAGTTGCCCTGAGAAGCTTTGCTAGCTCACAGTGGAATGGCTGCTCTGGCACTAAGGGTTTATTTTAATTCTACTTGAGCATTCTAGATATCTGTACCCTCCCTTCCTTAGCTATACTTAAATAAAAAGTTTTATTTCTCACTTTTATTGATGTGTAATTTCTGTATGTAAACCTTAATGCCCCAGAAAAGGGTTATTTTTTCACTCCCTCTGCTGCTCAGTCTAGGTGTGGAGATGATAGTACACTCTAGAGAAGGGCCCTACCCAATGTATTTTGTCACCATCTCAAGTTCAGGTCATGATAAATCTTGAGACTCAAAAAGATCTTCAAACTGCTGCTGGACAACTTAATATGTGTGGGGACTGGGCCCCGAGGTGCTGAGATCCGTGTGCCATCGAGTCAGACAGAGCATTGAGAAGGATGTGGGCCTTGAGGAAGAGTGGGGCATGAGGGCAGAGCAAAGGCTGTTGCATGCCAGGCAGGGATTATGTGGAGGGCCCCTGAGGGGCCAAGCAAGACTTGGGTGGTGGGGAGCACCCCTTCTCCATCCAGGCTAGATCGGGAGTTTGGTCAGCACTGGAAAAACTGAATTCAGTACTTATCCTTCACACTGCACTACCCGGAACATTGAGTAGAGTGCCTGTCCCTTTGTCAGTGCCCTTCAGATAGGCTTCACTAGCATTTCTAATGTGACCTACCCAGATACCCACCCTCGCTGTCCCTCTCTCTCCTCCAGTAAGGCTGTCTTGCTCATTCATTGTCTTGTGTACCCTGACGCAGAGTCCCAACCACCTGACCCTGCCAGGCTCCACCCTAGGCCTTGTTCCTCTGCCGGTGCCAAGATGTGTTCCACCCCTCAGCTGAGGAGCATCTGGCAGGGAGAACAGCTCACACACCATGTTGCCTCTGCCCTGGCCCACTCTGCTGTGCTCATGACTTGTCTCCCCAGCTTATGTTCTAAAGCCACATTTGGGACTCAAGACTTGTGCTTCTTGCTGAGGGCAAGGCAGTTGTCTCTGATTGGTGTCAATTAAGAAAAATCTCAAGTGAATGTTGCATAGAACTATAGGAATCAAAAGAAGTAAGAGACAACTCTTAACTTGAAGGTTGGGGACTCTGTTTAGAAGTCAGAGGAGAATGTAGAGGACTTTACTTCAAGTCCCCTTTACACTTGGGAAGCAGAAGCACAGAGAGGTGAAGTGAGGGCCACCTGTCCAGCCAACCAGAGCCAGGAGGTGTGTGATGGAGGTAGGATCGAGAGCACGTGGGTTTCCGCCTGGGCCTCCTGGTGGGACCTTGACAGATGATTTCTCACCCCTGTGCCTCAGTTTCCTCATCTGTAGGGTGCACAGGGCCCACAGAGTTGTGCAGAGGTTAAGAGAGGTACTGTGAGTGCATAGAGGGCTGTCAGCTTGTTATTATTTTCTGACTCTGAAATGTAAGATTATATTAAGTTTCTGCTTTACCATCAAGGATTAAGTGGCACTTGGTATAGTTTAGTGCTGTATATTTATAGTGTTCTAATTTCTTGTTAGTTTACTCTTTGGAAGAGGAATAGTATTAAATTACCCTGAATTTCTTGTTCCTTAAAAATACTAAGAAAAATAAAAATTTAAAGTGTAAACTGATAAACACCATAGCTTTTGTAATCGCTTATCATTATTGTCCCCCAAGGAAGATTTTTTGGATATTATATTCTTTTTTTTAATCATTTTTATAATTTGTTCAGAGATATGAAATTAAGGAGTCATTTAAAATAAAAACATCTGATAAACATAAGGAATCCTCTAATATTTGGAATCCACAAGATTCCAGTTCTCCTGTGTGACTCTCCACATGTGAACATTTCTATGATTAGATATGTGGATGTTGGGTTCTTACTTGTCCTTCCTTCTCCCTCCATTAGCTATACTGTTTATACATTTATGTACTATATATCTTTGCTTTGTACATAAAGAGTGAGGTTTTTTTTAACCCCTTAAGCACCAGCTTCTGCCCTGTGGGGCACTGTCATCACCATTTTGAGAATACATGGTTTAATGAAACCATACATCCAAAATATGAATTTTGTTTACACTTTTCAAAGTAGGCAAGGAATAAAAGGGAAACATTTTTAAACATTAGGCCATGACCCTTAGGTCATGTGTTCTTGGGTATTAAAATAGCTCTGGGCTTGACTCTTCTTTATGGCACCAACTGCAAACCAGGTGGTCAGGCAGGAGCAGCCCTGCAGCACCTCAGAGACCCAGGGCCTGCTCTGCAGAGCCACATACTGCAGCATCCTCACTATGCTTTACCTTTTTCAATAAGATGCCAGAACAAATAGGGAATTTTTCCAGTTTAAATTGATGCCTTTTTTTAAACAAAAAATTTAATTTTTACAGAACAAAGGGAGATTCATGACATTGTCAGATTGGCGAGGGTATACCATCTCAGTTTTAACCCAGTAAGTGTAGGTGAGTTTTTTTGCATCCATTTTTTCATTAGTGGATAATAAATTCTGTTTTAGTGTCTTCTGAAATATAAAAGCCTTTTTTGAAAATTTATTTTATACTGTGGTAAAATATACTTAACCCCAAATTTACCATCTTTGCCATTTTAAGTGTTAGAAACCTTTTGACAAGTCAGTTTCAAGATTGAGATAGAATGTAAAAAGAAAGGATTCCATTTAATAATTTTATGTTGGTTTTTGTTGTTGTTGTTTTTGTTTGGTACTGAGGACTTAACCACTGAGCCACATCCTTAGCCCTTTTTATTTTTTATTTTGAGACAAGGTTTTACTGAGTTGTTTATTAGGGTCTCAGTAAGTTGCTGAGGCTTACCTTGAACTCAAGATTCTCCTGCCTTGGCCTCCGGAGTTGCTGAGATTATAGGCATGCGCCATTGTACCTGGCTAAACAATTTTATGAAAGATGAATGTGGAACAGTTTTTCAGCTGTGCTTTTTTGGGGGATGGGTACTGGGCATTGAACCCAGATTGTTTTACCACTGAGCTATATCACTAGTGCTTTTTGTTTATTTATTTTTATTTTGAGATAGGGGCTCCTTAAGTTGCTGAGACAGGCTTTGAATTTGCGATTCTCCTGCCTCAGCCTCCAGAGTGGCCTGGATTACAGGCATGCACCACTGTGCCTGGCTCAACTGAACTAAGTCTTGACTTTCTCAACTTGGCATTTTAGATTTGTGTTCAATAAGTATTTAAATAGAGAAATTGGAGAATATTGTTTTTTTTCTTATACGCATGTTAGTAAGTCTGGTTCTTTCATTTCTTTTAGGTAGCCGTCAGACCCAAGAGCAAAGAACTCAGAGAAATGTAATAAATGTACCTGGAGAAAAACGCACTGAAAATGGGGTAAGTCATGGTGAACTGTATTTTTTTTTTTTTTTTGGTACTGGGGATTGACCCAGGGGCACTCAACTACCAAGCCACATCCCAGCCCTTTTTTGTATTTTATTTCAAGATAGCGTTACTCACCGAGTTGCTTAGGATCTCACTAATTTGCTGAGGCTGGCTTTAAACTTGCAATTCTTCTGCCTCAGCCTCCCAAGCCACTGGAATTATATGTATATCCCACTGCACCCCGCTGAATTGAATTTTTTTAAAGTGGCTATTATAGAATCTAATGGATTTTTTTTTTTCCTTTTGGAGGGTGCTGGGATGAAACTCAGGGCCTCACATGTCTAGACAAGCTGTCTACCACTGACTGTATTCCTAACCCCAGCAACTAACGAATTTAGGTTGTAATTGATTTTTATTATTTTATTTTATTTTTAATATTTATTTTTTAGTTGTAGGTGGACACAATATCTTTATTTCATTTTTATGTGGTATTGAGGATCGAACTCAGTGCCTTACGTGTGCTAGGCAAGTGCTCTGCCTCTGAGCCACAACCCCAGTCCCTATAATTTATTTTTAAAGAATTATTTGAGGGAATAGAAATTCTCATTTCCATTAAGGATTTAAAAATATTTTATGAAATTATAAAGAAGCAGTCCCTAAGTGATTTTTGCCTGTCTACACTGTGATTCATAATGCAGACAGAGTCTCCACCAGAGCAGAACCCTCTGTCTTCCTTCCACATGCTACCCACTCCCCATCCTAGAGCAGTAGACATGTGCCTGATGTCTATAGAGGAGCAGAGGGGTTTCTGAATTAGTTGTCAAGTGGCATTCTTACTTCATGTCTTCAATGTTGACAAGATGGGTATTGAGTGAAGTCTTCTGAACAGCTGCTGGCTCAGAGAGAGGTGTCTTCCTTTGTCACTCTGGTGCAGAGGTGATGAGCAGGGTAAATGTTGGTTATTGGTGAGGAAGAAAATGGAGAGTTACCCAGGCTTGGTGGTGCTTGCCTGTAACCCTAGCTACTCAGAAGACTGAGGCAAAGAGGATCTTAAATTCCTGGTCATCTTATGCAACTTAATGAGACCCTGTCTCAAAATAAAAAAAATAAAAAGTGGTGGGGGCATAGCCCACCCCTGGGTTCAATTCCCAGTACTATACAAGAACAGGCAAAGAAAAAAAGAACAAGAAAGGAGAGCCTTTTTAAGGATGTGCATTGAAGGAAAGAGCAAGTAGGAAATTTTAGTAATAACTTTTACAAGTTGTTTAGTAGTTTTGTTATTATACATTTTGCAGATATGTACTGCAGAGCCATGTGTTATACTAGATTATATTTTAATTTCTTTTTGGTTTCAATGTCATAGTCCTTTTTTGGTCAAGGAAGAAACATCCTTGATATCAAGATTGTGGTGGATTCTCCTTTCTTACATTCCAGAATATAAAAATCATTGCACAAGTCCTCCTCTTACTCCTGCCATCTGACTTATTTGTGCAGCCCAGCTCTACAGCCCTGTAGCAGTCTGCCAACATTCTCTACTTTAGGAGTCTTAAAGAGTAGAGGCATTGATGGAAATTATGTTTCAGTAAATTGGATGGAGTCTAGAATACTCCCATGTGACTGTGTTGTCCTACCAGGTTTGGGAACCTCCAGATCACAGGTACACACTATTGTAAGCATTCAAAATTTACTTGTCTAGCAGAGGTTTGAAGATCTTTTTGAGTCTCAAAATTTATCATGACCTGAATTTGAGATGGTGACAAAATACATTGGGTAGGCAGTGTGTTAAGGTGGAGTGACTGTGTTTATATGATACATGGAGGGGACTCAGAAGGAAAGGATTCCAGTGGTACAGTAAAATACGAAGGCCGATTTTGATGTGATGGGTCTATGATCTTTTCTCACTTGATGAAATTGATTTGTTAATTTGGAAATAATGTATACATTTTAAGAGCAACAAAACTGAAACCTGAAATCAAAAATTGAAATATGTATATACACTTTATGTGAGTTTATAATAGAGGAAGATATGAGACCTGGTCTAGAGGAATAACCTCGTGCTGGAAGCATCACATCAAAGATGTTGCTGTCTTTTATAGCACACACACCTGCCTTTTAAGCCTAGTAACACATTCCCTTGTAAAATACTTCCTTGTCTACAAAGCACTTTTACATGCATTTTTAAATTAATACTATGTTAAAAACATCTTTCCCAAAAAAGTTCTTTTTTTTTGTGTGTGTGTGTGTGAGTGTGTGTGTGTGTGTGTGTGTGTGTGTGTATCCATCCTATATCCTTGGTATAGAATAATGGTACTACTGAATTGCTTCAGCACTTGGGGCTGAGGCAACTCAGAGCAGATCAAGTGGCAGCTATGAGGAAAGGGTGGGTTGGAAGCAAAAGGCAGGATGCTGCGTTAGTATGATTCATGGCCATTAGCAGCTGCTGAGGCAAGAGGCTGGGAAGTTCTAGTCTCTGAAAATTGCAGGTCAACAAAGTCAGGCTAATCTGTGTGGCGGCTTTTTTTTTTTTTTTTTTTTCCTTATAAAGGCACACTGCTTTATTCTCATTGTATGTTCCTGTATTGGGGTTCCCAAGAATACCCCCAAATTCCAATTTGCTAGGAGGACTCATAGGATGATGTACTATAGCAAAAGGACATAGCCCAATCAACAAAGGAGAAAACACATTCTGCTTAGTGTCCTGGAAATACTGTCCTGTTTTCTTAGCCAATCTAGCTTAAAATAAATTGGTTTCTGCTTTATTCCTATATACTATGCAAGTTCCCAGGACCAGTTAATCTTGCCTTCCATGTTTTCTTCTAAGAGAGTTTTGTAGTTTTATCTCTTGCATTTCTGTCATCTGTTTTGAGTTAACTTTTGTGTATGGTATGAGGTAGGGATCTGTATTCATTCTTTTGCATGTAAATATCTCATTATTCCAGCACCATTTGGTGAAAAGACTGTTCTTTATCTCACTGAATTTTCTTAACACCTTTGTCAAATCAATTGACCATAAATGTCTGATTATTTTTGGAAGCTTTTGTTATTATAGTCACTCAAACACCCTTTTACATTATGGTATCCAGGACTTAGCCATACCTGTCAGATAACATTTTAATTGTCTAGAAAAAAACTTATAGACTTCTGCCAGGGTAGGAAGTCTAGAAGGGGAGGAGATCTAGGGGTTGGCCTGCTGTCTTTTACTCAGTCTGCCTTACCTCAGTGCTCTCCATTTTATTCACCTTTACAGAGGTGTTGCCAGTTTTCTGTGGCCATGACCATCTGTGATATGACTGAACTGCTAATCCAGTTTCACTTCTGGCCAAGGGTTGTCTCAGATGTACTAGGGCACAGCTCATCCTACCCTGTTGCTTCCAGCCTGGTTGTTGTCTGTGCTCCTGGAGTCCTATCTTCTTTGTTTGGGGAACTAATTAAATTAGGATCAAATAATCCTCCACTTGGAGCAAAACTAGGTACAGATTTCTTTTAATTTCTCTGAATTTCTTTTTAATATTTTCATTTTGTATTGTATTCAGGATATTTGTAAATATATCAAAGGTGATTACCTTTGTCCTCAGCCATGTCCATTTGGCTGTTTAGTTCACATAAAGTGCTTTTTAATATTTATTGTAAAAAGACAAGACAGGGGCTGGGATTGTGGCTCAGCAGTAGAAAGCTTGCCTGGCATGTGTGGGGCCCCAGGTTCAATCCTCTGCACCCATAAAAATAAATGAATGAATAAAGGTATTGTGTCCAACTACAGCTAAAAAAATTAAATAAATCTTTAAAAAATAAATAAATAAAAATAAAAAGACAAGAGAGTTCCTCCTGTACTTACAAATCTTATACTTGATGAAGGATATTATCCATAATATATAAGGAACTCTTAAAATTCTACCAGAAAATACACATCCTGATTTTAAAAAGAGATGGACGAGATATTCAACAGTCCCTTGACTAAAGAGGATATGTGAGTGTCAAGCGCATGGGAAGGTATTCAACATCATCCCTTGCCTTTGGGAAAGCACAAAACACTAGGATGTCTGACGTTAAAAGACTGATCATAGCAAGTGCTGGTGAGGAAGGAGAGAGTGGGAACTCTTGGACATCGCTGCTAGGAAGGTAAGACTCCATGATCTACAAAACAGCTTGGCTGTTTCCCTAGATTTAATCAGTTATATAACCCAGAAATTCTCCTCCTAAACATCTGCTGGAGTGAAATGAAAGCAGATGTCTGTGCCAACTTGTGCATCAAATGTTCACTCCAGCTTTTGGAGTGCGAGTGTCCACGTGGGCAGAGGCCTCAGGGCAGAGCCAGCTTTGGTGTTCCTTCAGTGGTCAGAGTATCTGCTTTATTATTTTTTAAAAAATATTAATATTTTAGTTGTAGATGGACACAATACCTTTATATATTTATTTATGTTTATGTGGTGCTGAGGATTGACCCCAGCGCCTCACACATGCTAGGTGAGCACTCTACCACTGAGCCACAACCCTAGTTGTTTATTATTGTGTCAACTTGGTAATGCTTTTAAAAATATCTTTCTTATGTTTTGTATTGTCTTTTATTTATTTATGTGGGGTTTTTTTAGTTGTAGATGGACACAATGCCTTTATTTTATTTTTTATGTGGTGCTGAGGCTCGAACCTAGAGCCCTCCACATGAGAGGCAAGCAGTCTACTACTGAGCTACAACCCCAGTCCCTGTCTTTTATTTATTTTTTGGCTCTGAGTAGCGCTTACCAGCAAACTTCTCCCCAGATTCTTTTTTTTTTTTTTTTTTTTGAGACAGGATCTTGCTAAGTTGCTAAGGTTGGCCTCACTTGAGATCCTCTTGCCTTAGCCTCCCAAAGCACTGGGATTCCAGGCGTGTACCACCTGGGCTTATCTTGTGTTTTAGATGCTGTTATTGCAGGTGCAATTTAGAGTGTCCTGTCCACTATGCTGCTGGAAGTAGTCTCCCCGCTGTCTTGCTTGCAATTGTCCAGCTTATTCTGTTGATAGCTCTATTATCC